TACACGAGTACATTGGAGTTTTTTTTGTTAGGGTTAGTCTGTGAGGTGGGATATTAAAATCCATCGTTCTTGTACCATAAATATGATTTGATTCATAGGCTTGGAATTTCCCCCTATTTTTGAATAGAAATACTAAACACTCATATATATAAATGCCCGGGACAGTTAATATATTCAAGCTTTTGAATTTTCCTCTGCATGACTGCCTGTAACTGATTCCCACCAAAATACGTAGACATCTCTTCTGTACTACGAAAACTCGTTGTGCTTCACTGCTTCCACCCCAGAAGATGATACCAAAACGCAACAGAGAGTGAAAGTTCGAAAAATATACTGTTCGCAAAGAGTTACTTTCTAAATATTTAGCTGTCACTCTGAAAGAGTAACACACCGAGCTTAGTTTGTTACAGAGTTCATTAATATGAGTCTCCCAGTTCAGATTTTGATCAATATGAATTCCTAAGAACTTTGTGTTATGTTCTAATTCTATATTTTGTGTCTGAAGCTGTATGTCCTGCGGTATTTGTTTACACACGTTTTTTGTTGTGAAACAGATACAGGCAGTCTTTCCTTTGTTTAAAATTAACTGATTTCTAGTAAGCCAGTCCTGAGCCTTTTTTAGGCTGTCGTTTGATATATCTAACATTTCTTGAAATGAAGATCCTACCGCTAGTATGTTTGTGTCATCGGCATAATTTACTAGATGTGTTTTTTCGTTGACAATTTCTGATGCTAAGTCATTAATATAAAAGATGAATAATAACGGACCCATTACACTTCCTTGGGGTACTCCCACCGACAACTGACCTTCATCGGAAAAGTACTTCTTTCCGTTCCTCTCTATCAATACTTTTTGGACTCGTTCCGAGAGGTATGATCTTATCCAGCTAAGTGCTGGGCCTCTAATGCCATACCGTTCCAATTTTTCCAACATAATAACATGATCAATGCTATCAAATGCCTTTGATAAGTCCAAAAATATACCCATTGACAAGTATTTGTTTTCATATCCCAGAACTATCTTTTCTATGAAGTCATAAACAGCTGTTTCTATTGATTTGCCCTTCAGGTATCCATGCTGTGAGTGACTTAACAACTTTTCAGCATAAAAAAAGCTCAGGAGCCTAGTACACATAGATATTTCAAATATTTTTGAGAAAGATGGCAATAAACTTATAGGACGATGGTTCTCCAGTAGTGAAGGATCACCTTTTTTATACAGTGGTTTGATAATTGCAAGTTTTAGGCTGCCTGGAAAAATTCCAAATTGAAATGAATTATTTATTATGTAGCATAAAGGAATTACTAGTTCATCTCCACAACTTTTAATGATACTGCTAGGTATTTCGTCATATCCAGTACTCATCTTATTTTTTAACTTTTTAATTATCTCAATGATTTCACTAATTGTTATGGGAGTAAGAAACATTGAATTTTTCGTAAGAGATATGTTACTAGAAAACTCAACTTCTTTCAAATTCAACCCAGAGTTTGGTGTATTATTCAGAAACAATTTATTAAAATCATTACTAACCATATTTGGGTCACCTGGTATTTTCAATTCTCCATGTTTTGTAGATTTTCCCTTTATTTCTCCTACTATCTGCCAAAGGCATTTTGATTTATTATCACTTTTATTTATACGGTCTCCATAATTCGATTTCCGGGCCTCTATCAATAATTGATTGTACCTAAATTTTGTTTTTTTATATGCTTCAATATATCCTTCTTGTTCTGATGTTCTGCTCAACACGAGTAAGGTATCAAGTTGATTTTTACACTTTAATATTTCTGGAGTTGGGTAGTTGGATATTTTTTTACTTTTTGAACCTATACATTTAATTGGAAAACATTGATTAAAAATTGGAATTAGTATTCGCATAAAATTTGCCCACTGTTCATTCACATCTGCCATTGAAGTGTAGAAAACTCCCTCCCAATCCTGATCCGATAATATTTTTTTGAAGGATTCGGTGTTATGTATATTAAATGATCTCTTTTCGATTCTACTTGATTTATGTAAGCTCATTTCATAGCTAAACGTGATTTTTTGGCCTGTGTGATCTGATATATGAGTGTTCAGTATTTCTGATCTATAGACTTGGCAATTCGTGAAAATGTTATCAATACAACTGCTTTTTGAATTTGTACTTATTCGTGTATACTCTAAAATTGATGGAAAAATATTGAAAGACTTCATTAGTGCTAAGAATTCCATAGAGTATTTAGTTTTGCTTTTGATGTCGATGTTGAAATCCCCTGCTATAAAAATCAAACAGTTCTCAGATATAACCATAGATAAAATTGATTCAAGTTTCCTTAAAAATTCCTGCTCTGATGCAGTACGGTAAATGCATAAAATAATCGCTTTGCACTTATTTAACTCAATTTCCACTGCCGCGCATTCGAATACTGCGACTTCTGATATTCTCACAATATCACTCCGCATCTTCCAATTGGTTCCGGTCTTTATAAAAATTGCTGCTTGTACTCCATCTAGACAGTTGCCAATTGACTGTAGGTTATGGTGAATAATACTGCAGGTGATTTCATTATTTTCATTGACTAGTTTTCTGCTTGAATTTCCATTGAGTTCCTCTTTATTACTGGACTCACCAACTACCCCTGTGCTTGTGGTGCAGTCCTTTTTTTCACAAAAAAACGCGATACAAGAGCACCGCTTGGCCATACTTCACGTTTCCAGGCTTTACTGAAATTTTCTTGCTTAATAGTTACTTTCATGGATGTATACAGCTCGGGCAATTTGGATTGGTGTTGTTCACACATTACTTCTGGAAAGTGTTTTTTAAGAACCTTCTTCAAATCATCAGCGTTTGTATCTGGACTGAGGCGTGTGACATGTAGTGATACCATTTTGGGTACAGTACTGATGCTTGAGTTCTCTTCATTACCACCTATCATGTATCTTCTGTTATTCTTGAAGTTCTTTCTGTACGAAACTTTCTCCCATTTTTGTTCATCTCTCGGTTCATTTGTATGGGCTCCTAACTCCTGTACCTCATGCATTTTGCTGTTTGTTGCAGCTGTCAAGATTGCAGCGTTAACTTCTTCATGCGTGAAAGTTTTCTTCGAATTAAATGCCATCTTTTTGTTATCAGCTACTGAACTATAAGTAGCTTGTGTTGGTAAATCCGAGGATGATTCATTCATGATGGGAATCTCGACAGGATTCGTTCGACGACTTTTTACTGATAATTTGCATTTATCAGAATTAGCGTTTTTGCTTGTGTTATCCGCTTTTTCTTCATATCTACTGAGTTTGTCAGTTAGAAAAACTATTTTGTCTCTTAGCAAACCGCAATTTTCGTTGAGGATATCGCATTTAGATTCAACTTCTTGCAATAGCTTACGCAAGAGCTTATTTTCCACTGCATATGGGTTTACTTCAAATTCTGCTTGTACATACCCTGCGCCATCCACTTTATTATCAAACGATGGACTTTTGATTTCATGCCGACATAATGCACTTTTCATTTGTGCTGCTTGTACCATGCAGCTTGGATGAAAGATCTCCATGCATCTGTAGCACTTCACTGAATTCACAACTATTTTTTTGCAATGTTTACACTCATTTTTGGTCTCCGCATATAACAACGACCCGCTCACTTCCGCCATCTTCGCTTAAAAAAAATGTGGGAAGTTCTTGCAGTGAAAATAAGTGGGCTCTGGTACGACGTAGAAAACAAAAACGGTTTTTGAAACTTCAAAGAGGTATTGTTATATTTTTTGGTCAATCGTTTAGTTCAAACGTTGACAAATTTGATGATAAAATTAATATCTCTATAGTGATATTTTTCGACATCTTTAAATGGACAGTATTTTAATTTCAGCAAAATCCAACCAAAGTGTCATGATGAAGTTTTTGAAAATCAGCCAACAATTTTCTGAAGTAGCTGCTTCGAATACAGCTGCATTGAAAGTAAGCACTCATAGAAATTTCTTTTCAGGACAGATGAAACATCTGTTATAGTAGAATTTTGACATTAATTCCACTCGAAATGATTTTGATACTCACATCAGAATTGCTGTTCCAGGTCCTCGCTGAATCTTCAAAACTCCATGCATCCAATGAGGAGCAAAAACTTCTAGTTCTGAAGAAATTGACAACCGTTCTTGAAAAACTAGCAAATTAGACTGATAATGATTGCAACTGCAAGCATGATTTATAAGAATAATAATGTATGAATAAAGAACAATTTGCAATAACCAACAATAATGACTGTTCGGAAATATAGTCCTTGAACCATTATTATTGAATTCCTCAGTTTTCAAATATAGAGGGTCGTTGAATATAGCCGATAGACAGTAAAGCCAAATAAACAGTGTTCCTTTACTATGTATTTTGAACAAAAATCTGCCTGGATTCAATTCAATGGAAATCACCGTGAAATGGTTCTCATATTAAAAATTTGTGTTATTATCCAGTAGCTATGATACAGTATCAGTCAATCACTCAATTGAATTGAAATTGTCATTTTTCGTAAAAGAGTGGCGTATTTTTTTCAAACAGGTAATTGGGGCGGATTACTTGATAACATTAGTCAAGACTCACCGATTCTCAATGTTGGAACATTGAATTTAACTAAATGGGAATGTTTCCAAGTTATTGGCGAAAAACTGATGATAATCTTATTAGAAGTATGAAGTAGACATAATTGACATAAGTTGACACAATTTCATGACTTGATTTCTCACAATATATTTCACTTGAATATTTTTGGATGTTTGGAGACTTGAAGAAATCACCGTCTCAGATAGAATGAGGGGATCATTGTCAGTATTTTGCAATTGCTTTTCGTTCCATTTCAAGAAATAATAACATCATGTGGAGAAGTAATGATTGTAGCAACAAAAAATATATAAAATTACCCGAATCGAAATCTACGATTATAAAAATATGGGTCATTTACACATAAAAATAATTTTAATTAGCATTTTACATATACTGACAAAGGTAGAAAAATTCAAGAAAAAAACACTTATGCCCCTATAGTTTCTTCTTTTCCATCGTAAGTAACGGGATCGAACAAAAACACATTATTGATAGGTACTTCTTTGTGTGAAACTGCTTTGATCACTTCTTGTGAGATGATTCCTCCCAAAACAGCACATACTGGTACAACTTCGCCAAAAACTATCCCGAAAATATCTTCAGATAGTTTAGATTTCGATTCATCCACTTGATAGAGTTCGAAGATATCTTTTTTAATACTCTGGAGTGCTTTGAGATCCACTTTTCTGGATGCGTCTGACGGATTCCTATTGTGTTTATTTCTGAATTCGATTAAAGCTGCAAAGGGTATAAATATCAGTGAATGAATTCGTGTGGGAATAGTTCATTCAATGGAGAATGAAGATTCTGAAGTCTATAGTCCTTCTTGAAAATCATTCAAAAAACATAAAAACTATTTATAATTGATAATTCATGCAATGCCAATAGGTACTCTATACTCTATACATATATTTGGGATGGGGATGATGAATGAGTATCATTAAAATCACTCATCATTTACCTACCTAACATAAGGAAGAATAATTCATTCCTTCTTTTCATCTTCTTTATGGAATCTGCATTTTGTTTCCGATTCGGTAGGATGATAACTTTATTCAGTTCCGGATAATTGATAGTACCCTGCACTTTGACCGTTGTTTTTTCAACACCCTCATGGTTTCTTTTCTTGCCACTAAGTTGAACTTGATCCCTTGAAAAATACAATTTTCTTAGACTTCAGCTAATCCAGATTTATTATATCAACTATCAATAGCAATATGCCTAAATATCTTAAGAAATCCAATATACCTATCTCATGCAATGCCATAACCTATGCCTACTTATAGTGCCATAGCGGTTTTCATAGTAGTTGTGTCAATGGTTTCATCCAACATGAAGATAATCAAGTATTTCTGTAGTCTACTGATCTTCTAATCTCATAGTACTTCAGGGAAAATCAATATATCTAAATGTAAAAAAAGGCAAGTCCTTTTTGAGTTTTCAACACTGTCAATCATGAGATACTGGTTAGCCTTGCACCAAACAACAGACTTTCACAAGCACCATGTTGCTAAATTTACCAACTGATGGATGTTCAACGAATCAAATACAAGTATTATGCAGATCCACCAATCCACGTGAAGTACGTGAGCTTGATGGACATCCTTGTTGAATTTAGCAACACGCGTTATGTTGCAGATTTCACGAATATTGTGCATCTCCAACATAGTGACGTTATAGGTTTATGGATTGATTGTGAATCAATTGTGAACTGAAATTAGCAACAGAAATAGCAAATTGTACTTTGACCATGACACTTTTTTCGAGGTTAATTTGAATTTCCCATTCGCATTGAGAAAATATGTGATATCATGTATCACAGTGAATTGAGCAATACCTCTATGCATCTATTGGTATTAACAAATACTAATGCAAGTATTTCTTCCCTCAATGCCTGATTTTAGATTGTAGCCAGGCCAGGTTAATGCTTGATACCTACAGACCGCTTTCGGGATTTTGGTCATCATCAGTGTAGGGTAGTCACCAGCTAGCAGACTTAAGATTACCAACTAAGCAAGACCTGATCAAAGAAAAATCCAATCGGCCTTTATACTCTGAAAGATACGAATCCCATTGACATCATGGGTGTAGCGACATCTAGAGCAGGTTTATCTGACGGGGGTTTAAAAAGTATTATCAACATCTTATTAACTGGTTACACTTGATACTTTCTCCAAAAGTCTCACAAGCTGAGTCAATAATTACAATTACATATTTTGACAAGGGAACACAATATTATGAATCTGAATCTTGGCACTATGTAGCGCAAGTTGAGTACCTGATGATTTGAGATGAATATTTGTATGGATTATGCTAGTTATTTAAACTTACTCGTGGTATTCGTGTTCTTGAAAATCAGCAACACAATATCCAAAAGTTCCAAAGACATCGCCAAATATTAATTGCACATTATTCGCTCTGCAAGTTTTGTCAATTTTCAAGAGAAGATCGCTTTTTATGGAAGTAGCGACTATAATGGTGAAATTCTTGTAGAAACTCTGGTCCTTAGATGATGGAGAATCAGTATCTGCAACTATTTTGACTAAAGGATTCAGAGCCTGGGCTTTGAGAAGAACCTCTTCAGCAATCTATAAATATCAACGAAAAAAAAAATCAAATTTGGTGCATCAATTTGATGCTATAAATGCACAATACAGATATGATTGGAAATATTGGGATTATATGAAATTTAGAATGTTTCACACTCTCTCTAAGAATATTATCAGACAAAAGTGTGGCGAGAGATTGAACAATAACATGTGAATTTGTAGAGCTACCCCACTATTTTTCCATAATATTAGTGTTTTCAATAATTTTCAACAATAAATTGACTATAATCGAATCGTGGAGAAATTGGAATCTCCAGGATTACTTTCACCTGTTACTAGTCAATACTGAATTTTGAGCCTGTATGAAATGTTTGATCGATAAAATTCCGATAAACTAAAATAAATGAAGGACTGAAAAGTGTTTGTTTTCTCAGTATGTTTCTGCAAGAAGTACGTGGGAGTATGAGGATGTAGATTAGGGTTTACAATCAATTGTGTTGTAGTGGGAAGTGGGTATAATGATTTATAAAACATGAAAAATCAAGACCAGGGTCGATAATTTTCGAAACCGAAAAAAATTATAGTAGCATGAAACCCATTGAAAAAGGAAGAGATGGAAGAAAAAATAAATTACGGGTGATTTGAGGTCGGCAAGTGGAAGAGGGTGAGCTTTTAAGGGTAAAAAACGGATTATCCCGAATTCCGGCAAAATTAAAAATCCAATGGAAAAAAGTTGAATGGCGAAGTTGTAGGTAATAAGAAGCTCAATAACTTTTGTCTTCACACTTTTTCCACATAACCTCAAAATTTCTGTGGAAAATTGAAATAAAAGTCGGTGGGCTTTTTGTTTGTTGGAATCTCTACTTTCTGATGGTGTAAAAGATAATATATATATACATTACTAGGGTAAATGTTCTCATAAAATGCAATGAAACGAAACTCAAATCCGTTTTATTTTAATCAATATGTACAATTTTGAGCTATTTATAAAAATTAAGACTAATTACTCAAACAACGTAAGATTCCATGTTACATTGATGAACAAAAAAATTTCAAATCCATGAAACATTAAGATTGCAAAAAACTATGAGAAAATAATAAGGATGGAATTTGAAGGATAGTCTATCTAAAAAATGTGACTGCTGCTTTGTCGTTTCTTTGCATTTTCCGAGAACTTTGACAACAGTGATGTATATATTTTTTACATCATCAGAAAGTAGATATTTCAACGAACAAAAAGCCTATCGACTTTTCTGAAAAAGCAGATAGTTTGACGCGAGAATTTTAGATTGAAAATTAGGGTGCTTTTTCGATATTAAGTCAAAATAAGGAGATGAAAAAATGTATATTTCAAATTAAAAAAATGGACAGTGTATTTGGGACATAAAGAGAGCAATTTTCAACAAATTTTCGTGAAAAAATATTTTTTTGTGAAGGATAAAAAACAAAAACATGGTTATTTTAACTTTTCACTTAAAGCTTGCCCCCTTTCTGCTTCCTGGCCTAACATCGCCCGTAATTTATGTTTCCTTTCATCTTTGTTCTATTCTCTACTTTTTTCAATGATTTTCATTCTAGTATATAATTTTTAACCTTTTACCATTTTCAACGGCTTCAGCACTGATCTATAAACGAATTTCCATCACAATTTTTATCCTGGATGTTTTACCTCAAAATTTCAGCTTTAATTCTTGAAAACGATAAATTCATTGAGGCACTGTGGTACTGATGAAAATTATTATAGTCGATTCATTGGTTAGTACCAGACAGTGAGAAAAAGTGGCCGACCAGCCGTGAACTTCTTATCCACTAAAAACTTGAAATGATAATGTCATTAATGTCAAATCAACATTTGGAACTCGCGTTGTGAAAAGTCCACCTGAAACATGGAAGAAAACTCCGAAGGTACCGTCGAAGCGACAGAGGAAACCGATCAGCCAGAAAATCCTTCGGAAGAACCCCGTCCCAGCTTCTTGGACACAGTATCCATCAACACAACGGCAACGGAACAAATCGATGGTAACTTTTCAGTTAGATGACAATTTCACGTATTTTGATGAGTAGATATGAATCCAAATTGAAATTGTGCGCTAACGAATGGTTTACAAGGTTTCTCATTTGTCATTCTGGTAGGAACGCTTCTGTGGTGGTATGATAACTATGCTAACTACATGCTTATTCTCTTCTCATGTTTCCAGGAATGAGCCTTTTCAGTCATTTCTAGAAAAAATATATCAAAATATGTGGCTCTGGCATGCCTATAATTTTTTTCCATCAATTCATGGTATAAAAAATTAATGAACACGACGAAATGAACGAGCGAATTCAAAAGATCAGACATGGCCGCGAACCGTGTGACCTCAGTGCGCGAGCAATTCGGATTGGTGAAGCACTAAAATGCACAATAGACTTGACAATGTTGCCAATTAGGACAGAAAGCTATGATAGATAGATAGATATTTATTTGCCATTAATGTGCTACAAGGAACACAATATTTTATCACTAAAGCTAAAACTAACACTATACATATATGTATAAATAAATAAATAAATAAAATAATCAATTTTGAGTAATATCGCACATTCTCCATGCCCAATAGACACACAGACAGAAACTACAAAAATAAACACCCGGTATCTCTCTCATCTTGAAGAGAATATTACTATGTTGCTAAAAATTCGTTGAGGTTATAAAAACTTCTGTCCACTAGAAATATTCGCAAGTTTTTTCTGAAAATATTCGGAAGTTTATTAAAAATTAAGCTTCCAGCACAATACGATGATTTTCTGGTGGTAAAATTCAAGATATGGATTTCTTGAGCTCTCCTCGTTTTATACCCATGCACATCCTGGTTGAGTTTCGATTTGTTCTTATTTTTCTGAATGAAGCATGCAATTTTGAATATTTATATTCCAGTCACAGTAAGTATCTTCTGTGTCTTAAAAGTTTCTCTACAAGATTAGTAGAATATTTATTTCTAGATTTCTTCCTTTCATCAAATAATACAGATGCTGTTAGAATACTCAACTAATAACTACTTACCTGATAATAAGTGGTACTGAAAAATTGCATTTCATAATTAGTTAGATGGTTGATTTCTGTTGGTGGATTATTTCATTCGATAACAAAGAGCGAAATACTGGAATTTAACATGATTTCGAATGATTTTTTGGATGGAAGCCCAATAAAAAAAGGTGTATGTGTACGTGGGGGCTCCTGGCGCTCCGTGAATTTTTCATATTTTATTATAAAGCCTTATAAAGGCATCAGGTGTAAAATGGGTCACCTGTCACCAGCTCCTGGTCTATAACTATGGTCAATTTAGTGTACTTGTAAAAGATTATGTTTGTAATTCCACCAAAGAAATTTAATATTGTGATTTTTTTCATAAAAAAACATACATTTTTCGAAAAATTCCTCACTATCATTTTAATAAAATATTACCAAATCGAAGAACCGAATGTAGAACACAAGGAAGACGAGGTGTCCATCAATCTTTTTCGAGACTCCCGGAGCCATTTGGTGACAGACATGCCGGAACAAGAAATCGACCCCGAGGACACAGAAGATGAAACGGGAAAGCATTCTGAAAAGGGAGAAGACGATGTGGAAAAGGAGGCAGGAGAAAATGACAATGGAGAAGTAGAGGCAGAAGGAAAGGGCGAGAATGAGGAGATCGAGTCGAAGGAAAGGGAAGATGGAGAAAAAGGGGATGAAGCAGATGGTGAGTTGATACAAAGGCTGTGTCAAGTCAGTCGTTCAACCACAGTGGTGATACCAGTATGGTCAATGTTTGACTCGACTCCCATCAAAAGATAACATGATAACTTTGTGGGCAGGTTTGAAACATGACCGATATTCCCAAACAGCTGGTTGGTCAGACTGATGGTCAGACTTCAAACTGAACGTATGTGGCCGGTCAAACCACAGACTTGACACAGCCTAAATATAAGATTGTCTGAGTATCCTAGTGGGTATATTCGGCCCACCACTGCGATACGTCGTTGTTTATAGTGGTTTACCTGATTTCATATTTCACCAAGTAGATCAAGTTTCTTGATTAGTTAACTTGGTGAATGATCTTGTTACGGTTTATTTCCACCGTAGCTTCTGATATATCTGCGGCACACTATTTTATTTGAATCGAATTCGAAATTCACCTTATGTTCATGAATGCGCTGATTAAACGTACGGCCTGTCTGGCCGATATATGCCTTAGGACAAGATCCACAAATGAGTTTGATTTTTCGAATTTTGAAGTTTTGTCTTTAATATTTTTTATAAACCTTCCCAACGTGTTATTTGTTCTATATGCTACTTTTGAGTCCTGTTTATGTAGAAATGAAGCTAATTTTTCAGTTGATGATCCGAAATAGGTTAAAGTTCTATGATTTTGATGTCGAAACATGTTGTGTGTTTGAGAATTTTGTGGAAATTTTATCGTTTGTGAAGTTTTTACATTTGCCATGGATTTCCATCAAGTAACAGCCGAACCAATTCAAAACTTTTCTATAGTTAATTTTGTATCTAGTGCGCAAAATGCTGCTTTGGTGATCGATGACTGATTTTTCTAGCGAGGCACAGCCTCGTTAATAATACAGTCGAAATCACCAAAGTATTTCGCGCACGAGTTGCAAACAACATATTTTTCTACAAACGTCAAAAAACATAGTTCTAAAGTAGTAATATGCTTAGCTTGATCTAAAAAATAGTGTTGAACTGGCTTAAAAGGCCTCAATTATTGTTAACCGTTCAGAAATGAATGATTTCTTGGAGGTTTGCTTGATTGAGGAATGAGGACCATACAGTTTAAATATACAGGCTAATTCACGGTGGATGGCACATTAGACACCCTGTATATTATTCCATTCTCAGATTCTTCCTGGAGAGCTGATTTCATTGACACTATAACACTTGGGGTCTAGCAATTATAATAATAGAGTTCTAGGATGTGAAGAATCGAGATTTTTCAACTCTAGGAATTTTTTGTGTCGAAACTATTCATAATTGGTCAAAACGGTTTCCATTATTATTATTATTTATGTCCATATCTTAACTTTTCACGTACTGATATTCAATTGAAATAAATACAGGGTGGTTCAGAATGAGGATTTTTAACCACCCTGTATCTATTTCGATTAAATATCAATTGATAGTACGTGAAAAGTTAAGAAAGAGGCATGGAAACCGTTTTGACCAATTATGAATAGTTTCGACACAAGAAATTCTATCTCGATTTTCACACCCTATATCTTCATTATCATTCCCGCTAGACCCCAAGTATGATAGATCGATAAAATCAGCTTTTCAGGGAGAATTTGAAAACGGAATGATATACAGGGTGTCCCATTGAAAGAATCAAAGTTGTTGCTACTTTTCAATATAAGCGGCAACGTCACAGCGCTGAGAATATTTCAGGTCGATCGAACACAACTAATAATCCAAGGAACCAAGTTTTCAAAATAATCCTACGTTGCGATTCTCCAGAAACGTCTAATGTACCATGTATCACCGTGAATCAGCCTGTATAGTTTACATACAATGCGCGAAGTATATACTTCGCGCATTCTTTTACTTCGCGTACTGCATCGCACATGGTGTCGTGGTAACGTAGGGAAAATAATCTGCTTCGAAATCATGTTATTTGTTTTTCAGATCAAACAAAAGGCGTCACCATTTCAGATGTTCCGCACACAGAAATATCCGATGAAAATAAGGAAGGAGCTCAGAAAGTAGAGGGAGAAAAGGCAGAAGATGCCGAGGCTGAACAGAAATCGTTGGGACAAAAAACATCGAAACAATCGGGGATTTCCACAAAATATTCCAAAGTTACTATTACCGAACCATCCATTGACACGGACAGCAAAAATAAGTACCTAACTATAAATTATCAAGTTTTCTTGTTACAGGGAGTTAGTTGTAGAAACTTTTTCAATTTTTTATACCAGTGATAAAATTGATGGTATTTTGATTTTTTCCGATTTCCATTTCGATTATGTCAAAAAAACCACAACCTTCAATAAAAAATCAATGGGTGAGATGTGAGGGACTGAATCTTAGAACAGGAATATTCTCAGATATATTATGAATATGAAAAAATAGATATACAGGGTGATTCACATAAGAACCGACATAGAGCAGGGGCATGTAGGGGGTCCCAAAATATGGCAATTTAACGCAACTTACCTCTATACCAAGTTGCTTCCCTAAGGAGTTATAGGCTTTGAAAGTGAAGTTATAAATTTTGAAAAAAATCAATATCTCCGTTATTCTTGAACTTAAAGCAACCAATCTTGGTACACTCTGTGGAAGTATTTAGGGCGTTACTTGACAGTAACTAGAGTTTAATTAAAATTTGTAAAGGGGGTATACAGGGTGGCGCACCATTAATATTCAACAGAATTTTGGTAACCCTTGATGGATTTTAAAAATCTTTGCTTTGTTTTGTGGGCAATTCAATTCTAAAACTTTTCTTAGTCCAGTAATTTTTCGAAAAATCTCATAATTTTCATATAAAACTCGAATAACTGAAAACGCGTGCTTTAGGTGTGTTATTTAAAATCATCGAAAATTCTAAAGTTGGCTATGAAAATAAACGTCAAACTTGACAATGAAGCAAGTAAGTTGTTCAATTAAGTATTTTATCGATAAACAATAGTTTGTTTTGGTTGTTGTTTAAGTTTTTTGTGTTTATTTTGGTTAGTTGTTAATCCCAGTTTTTCACATTTCAGTATCTGTCCTTACTTTACGTATTTTGTTACGTATCAAAATAATAATTTGCCAGACAATTTCTACTGATCACAATCAATGACCTACTTTCTTGTTGTACGTTTATTTTCATAGCCAACTTTTGAATTTTCGATGATTTTAAATAACACACCTAGAGCGCGCGTTTTCAGTTATTCGAGTTTTTGATCAAAATGATGAGGTTTTTCGAAAAATTACTAGATTAAGAAAAGTTTTAGAATTGAATTGCTTACACAACAAAGCAAATATTTTTGAAATCCATCGAGGGTTAACAAAATTCTGTTGAATATTAATGGTGCGCCACCTGGTGTACCCCCTTTACAAATTTCAATTGAGCTCTAGTTACTGTAAAGTAACGCCCTAAATACATCCACAAAGTGTACCAATTTTGGTTGCTTTAAGTTCAAGAATAACGGAGATATTGATTTTTTTCAAAATTTATAACTTCACTTTCAAAGCCTATAACTCCTTAGGGAAGCAACTTGGTATAGAGGTAAGTTGCGTTAAATTGCCATATTTTGGGACCTCCTACATGCCCCTGCTCTATGTCGGTTCTTCTGTGAATCACCCTGTATATATTTATAATACATAATAGAGAATTTATAAATAATTATTGCATAACTAATATTTCTGAAGTTCCCAATTGTATTTCAACTGTACTATAGTCTGCCCCAACTTACGAAATAGTGAGGTCAGTTTTTACTCGCGGTAAATTTCTAGCTGTTTGAAAATTGCCGTGGCATTATTGATGATTGAAGCACCTCGAATTTCGAGGCTCGAAATCTACCAAAATATTCAAAAATAAATATGAAATTGCAAAATATTTGAGTGATGATTCTATTTGAGAAATGAAAAAAAAAATGAGCACTCGCCTATTGTTTTTTTCTCACCAAGGGCGAAAACAAGGAAAAGCATACGCAAATCCAGGAGCATCGTTTACGAGATAGCCCCCCGGTTTCGTTACGACGATGACGACCGTTTGGCTAGACCGAGCGGAGACTTCGGTATCCGATCGGATACCGACGGTGGCTCCACAGTGAAATTCTACTCGTACATGGACGATGAAGCAGAAGAGGAGGAAGAAGAGGTCGTCGTGGAAGAAGAAGAAATTGTAAGAATTGACAGGTGAGAATCGTTCTAATTTATTATTCGACTTCCTACCGCGGTGGAAGGCAGTCGGCGTCTTCAGGTCGGAATTCAGGTTAAAAGTTTTAGTGATTGTGAGTTTGAACCGCTAATAGCGCAAAATACTTGGTATCACTTCGAGTGAGACATCCAGGGTGCTCGGAAAACAAAACCCTCATTATTTACGCCGGTATCCAGGCCGGATGGGTGCGGATTTTACGTAATAAGGGTTGGCTGTATGTGGTAAGACAAGAAGCCATATTCAGGAAGAGAAAGATATGAATTGATTCAGCAATAGGGAAATGGAAACCACTTTTAACTCCAGGCGTCCAATCCTCCATCAGGAATAAAAACGAATAAAAACATAGAAGAAGACAGGCTAACGAATAACTGGAGATCAAAAGTCTAAACGCGTAAAACTGGTAAACATAAACAAACATAACCACAATATCAGATCGGCTGTCGGTGTGCCTGTTAGTATTTTGTGTGGTGTGGACGGGCTCAAAGTATTATACACTGTTGCAAGATATAATCTGCAACTTTCCTAGAAATAGATCCGTTTTATGTAGCAATGAATTCATTTGCAAAATAATGTCTGACAAGTTATGATTATCATTTTGTAATATAACGAATCTGAAAAATTCTAGATAATATTGCAAAATATCATAATGAACCAGCAAATAAGAGATTTATGAAAATTATTCATGATACTCGGCGAAGTAACATTAAAAATCCTTTATATCCCATTGCTGTTATGATATTGTTATAATTTATTCAAAAGGCAATTTGCTGAATTCTCGACATATTATTGATGATGCCGGCAACGTCGTATTAACAAATGGAATCGTATTTCATCTATGTGTGAATGTTGCTTTCCTAGGTTGTACATGCGTCATAGGAATGGCGAAGGAGCCAAGTTTCTTTTTCATTTATTTTCTTCTGGAGTAAAAAATGATTTTGAGAAAAAAAGAAAAATACGAATCAAGTTCTGTATCCTATTTGAGTTTCTCAGCTTAGCCAAAAACTGTGCAAAATCTGGAATGGGCTGGAATACTTGCTTGGAAGAGGTTCAGCTCTTAAAGGAACTCTTTTATCACAGATTGTAAAGGAACTGATTTGAAATACTAGATCCTTTCTTTCAAGGAGTTCATACTTTTATTCCATTCATTTACGTGATGTTTTTTTGACCGAGAATAATCCGAAATGACCAATAGGCCTTTTCATTTAGATGACAAATGACTATCTGTGTTTACATCTCGCATCCAAAGACAGTGGCGGTCATTTTCACCGAAACACTTGCACCACACTCTTCAGTAATGAATAAGTAACGTTTTTTCGATTTAAATTAATATAATACAATTAATACACACCAGGAATATAGAAACGAGAATACTATAATGTTATCGTTGTTTCTTAGGCTATATTCCGAATTCAACTGACAGTACTGAATCTGCTGATTTTCCATTCCGAAATCAAAAAATTTACTGGAAGTTACAGATGCTTGTCAGCAGACATACTATTCATTCCAAATATTTCGACTCAACATTCTGCTGGAATTGCTGAGTACCAAAAGGTAGTGTGGCTTCAGTGTATTTTAGAGGGGGAAGGAATGTAACATTCATTTCCGTTGTTATAATGAAATGATTCTCAATATCATGGATATGGAGTATGAAGTAGTAGATCAGGTAAGGAAAGGAGCAGCATTGGCTAAATAAACTAAATAAACCTGGAATGTCTCCTAAAATTCATCATTATTAAGGCATATTGCGATTTTCATGAATCTCAATTCTCAATCTGGTGCATCATGAAAAATTCATGGCAACAAAATGTCCAAGTATTCTTCATCACTCGAGCTTGAATCGCCATCGTCAACAATCGTAGAAACTATAGAGGATACAAGAATCGATTTCTCTTACATGGTCAATATTAAATTTTTAAAGTTTATAACAAGTAGGAGGCTAAACATCTAGTTCAGATAAACGAGAAACTACTACCAGAGCTACTACTGATGAAAACCATGAAAACGTGTCCCGAATTACAGTAGTGAATTTTTGATTTTATATTTCGGAACACATATTTTCAGCAGAGTCAGTGGATCAACTGACAGTACTGACCAGTTGAATTCGGAATATAGCCTTAGTGACGAATGCCCATGGTGGTTGACACTCTGTTGACCTTTGACAGAACGTCAATAAAAACCGCCATATTCGAATTGGCCAATCAGAATTATGTGTCGGAACTATAGCCATTGAGACTTCACCTTCGCATTAACCAATCAAATTTTGGATCTAAAAACGAGCGCATGCGTCTTAAAAATATATCTATATGAAAAGGCCTATTGATAAAAATATGGATGACTAATGGATATACTCGAGCCTGACGTGTATTTGAAAATTTTGAATCATGAAAGGAAACACAATTTTTTTGTAATATCAACCGGGTGATCTAATGTATATCGTCTATATCGCCATAGTTATTTTAGTTGGATATTGCATTTTGATTTATGGATGTACAAATTGTAAGCGACTATAAGACCAAATATACACTAAACTACACTACATTTTCATTTCTTTCTTTCATTCTCGACAGGGTACCATACTATGAACGAAATGAAATAATTCAGAAAGAGATAGAATTCAAGAAAATTCGCAACTATATTCTCCAGAAAAAACTCGCCATGTTCTTCAAAAGACGTAAAATGGATCGTGTCCTTCACGAAACCGATCAACAGATAGACACACAACAAAAGTATGGAAAAAAACTAGACATGTTTGGGGAGTTGATTGAACTAGACACATCGCAGAGAAGCACTATCACTGCAGAGTTGGAAAATTTGAAGAAAAGAAGAGAAAGCAAATTCAATGAGCTGAACAAGCTGTTTGGAAATATGCAAGAAAGGGAAAATGAAATCGGGTATGTTTCCATGTGCGCACTTTTATTGATATCATGAAAAAATAGTTGTTGCAACTAAGACAAGAACAATTTGAGAACAGTTTTCTGGCTGTTTACATGCCTTTGAAGCATAATAAATTTGAGGGTACTTTTTTCGATTTTCCTGAAGAACTATCATTTTCTCATATTCTTATGAAAAATTCAAATAATTTCTGTTCTGAAATGCATAGTTTTAGATTCATTAGGTGGTCAAGGTGGAGGTTTCCATGAAATAAAATCCAGTTGAATGTACAGGGTGATCAGTTGAGGGTAGCGAGCGGCCATATCTCATAAGATATTGGTCCTATAGATTTGAGAAAAAATTCATGATAAAAGTCGCAAAGAGAAATTGCTGGAAATGATTTCCTAGTTTGTCAAACGTCCGCTAGAGGGCGTAACAACCAACACCAAGTATATAAATGGGATTTTTATATAATTTTGTCTGATGGAAGTATATCAATGATATCGTTTTCATTTTCACTGAACATTTTCCTACATTTTTTGTCTGAAACGTTTTGTTGAAAATGAAATGGTGGGGGAAGTTCAATTTTTTTTTTAAACAAACCAAGATTTCTCCCGTTTATGTCGACCGATTTTGGCAAACTTAGGCTCATATGAAAGAGCATAATTTGCCCTACAAAACGGTCATTTGGTTTTGAATTTTTGACTTTTGTTGTCGCCGCTAGATGGCGTTGACTGAAATGTTAGTAAATTTTTAAATTTTCCCGAACAAAAACAAATTTAATGGTATATCAATTATTATATGTTTCGAAAGAGGATAAATTTCTCTATAATTTGAAGGAAATGATTCATCATCTACCTTTTTTTGAACCCTTGATATAATAATAATAATAATAATAATATAAGTTTATTCAAAAACGTTTACAAAATATACATTGGAATAAACATAAAGGTAATTTGAATAAACTGGGAAAAACCTTACGAAGTTAACCTTGGAATAAATAAAATTTAATTACATTAAAAAATGGCACGCCACTGTTTTTTATGAATATAAAAATCAGTTTTGTAATCTCTCATTAATTACTAACAAAAAAAACTTTTGACTTTTTTTCGTTAGACAAACGGTTTTCGATTGAAAAAATAAAATAGGTTTACATACCGGGCGCCCCAACGAAAAAAAGTCAAGATATTCTTTTTGTTAGCAACTAATGAGAGATTACAAAACTGATTTTTATTTTCATAAAAAACAGTGGCGTGTCATTTTTTAATGCAATAAAATTATATTTTGGTCAATATCAACGGTTCAAATAAACGTAGATGATAAATTATTTTTATCGAACTATAGAGAAATTCATCCTCTTCTCAAACATTGATATACCATTACATTTGTTTTTTTTTTGTTTTTTCAACTCAAAAATTTTTTAACATTTCAGTTAACGCCATCTAGCGGCGACAGCAAAAGTCAAGAATCCAAAACCAAATAGGCGTTTTGTAGGGCAAATTATGCTCTTCCATATGAGCCTAAGTTTGCTAAAATCGGTCGAAATGAACAGGAGAAATCTTGGTTTGTTTAAAAAAAACAATTGAACTTCCCCCACTGCTTTATTTTTAAAGATAGAACAAAACGTTTTTGACAAAAAATGTAGGGAAATGGTCAGTAAATATGAAAATGATATCATCGATATACTTTCATTGGACAAAATTCAATAAAAATCCCATTTTTCTACTTGGTGTTGGTTGTTACGCCCCTCTACCGGACGTTTGGCAAACTCGAAAATGATTTCCAGCAATTTCTCTTGGCGACTTTTATCATGATTGTTTTTTCTAAAATCTATATGACCAATATCTTATGAGATATGGCCGCTCGCTACCCTTCTCACCCTGTACATACAGAAAAGCATTTGAATAAAATCAAATTTCAAAATAGCAGAGGCATTCTACACATATTCGTTACCTTTGGGGATGCCACAAGTCAAATATTTTTTTTTTATTACTAAAGATAGATCCACCAAATTTCAAAGAAATCATGATCCTAAGATCATATAACTATTTGCTCATTTTGATGATAACTATGAGCAATTGCATTTCAACAAATAAATATGAAACACTCATTGAAGAAAGGCTCCATTCCCGACAAAACCTTTTTTGTAACGCGCCTCCACCAATACCATTACTAATTTTTTTCACAAAATTCTCCTCCACACCCCCTATTCACAGGGTAGGTTACCTTCCTATTACTATATTCAACCCATTTCATTAGATAGAAAGTATATTCTAATTTTTTATTATTCCTGTTTTTTTATTAGATTAGGACTGATTGACACAAAAACTGGTAAACCAATTCCAGATAAATTAGTGGAGAGGCTTATTAGAAGACAAAATGTTCAAATGGATGAAGTTAGTGCTATGAGACTGAAGTTCATAAAGCTGAAGGAAATGGTGGTTGAGAAAGAAACTGCAATATCAGACCTGGACCAAATAGGTAACTGATGAGTATGTCATATTTTCTTCAGTTTTCCAATTATTACATTTAATTCAGGTGAAGGGTTATATTTGATGGATTATGAACAATTGAAAGTGGAAAACCGAAGTCATGCTGATAAAATAGAGGAGAAGGAGGAAGATCTAACTAGACTCAGATTCCGGTGCCAAAATACAATACAGATATTGGCACACATAAGAGAAAAATCTTCTGCATTAGACTCTGATCTAGATGACATAAAAGAAGATATGTCTATGGTACAATTTCAAAATTTTCAGGTAAAGCAATAATTGATTTTCTCAATTAACAATAATTCATTTTTTCTACTACTAGCTCTAGAACATACCATTATGTAGCTCTGCAACCTGACAAAACCTTTTTCTTTAGTACCAATCAGTAATTGAATTTATACTTCTACTAGTTGATGATGAAAACAAGTGACATTACTGAAATACTCTGAATTAGATTATCATTTGAAGTGTTTTCAACTTTTCAGAAAAAATGGAAATTTCACAAATACAAATCCTTTAAATTGGAAGAATGCTAGTTTTGCAGAAATTAATATATGTATTAATCAATATCAAGAACTATACAGCTCAGCTTTATTAGTATCCTGTCTATTTTGTAACATATCTGAGAACATAATGCTTTTGTAAAGTACTGATTATGAGTGATGATGTCCATGACAATTTTTTCAAATGGAACACCTAAAATATTATTGAATTTTCTGAATACAAGAATACATCTGTTAAATTCAGTGTTCTCTTGAAATTACACTTCAATATATAACTGTGGATTTATATTCCTGGGAATTATTATTCAGATATATATACAAAATTTTATTAAGTTATTACAATACTCAGCATTCAATTTTTGTATGTCAACTTATGACAAAGACTCCACCATGTAAGTTAAGTGGATAACAAGGAGATACAAAGTAAATTAAGTTTTATGAACCATATAATGTAATATATCTTATATATTATATACAAATAATCTTAAAAACAAAACAAAATAAAACATGGCATGTTTTCTGACATTTGCTTTTCAAAGGTTAGAGCACAACTCAATGGAGTGAAACAAGAAAGGGACTATTATAGATCAATGACAAATAATCTAAGAAATGATTCAGGATTACTAACACAGCCAGAACTTTTACGAGACATGGAAAGCTCCATGGAAGAATTCAAAACTATATATGCAGAGTTGGAAAACCTAAAAAAGGAAAACAAGGAGAAAACTCAACATATAAGAAATATAAGAAAAAATATGGAGTTCTCAGCAGACTTGGGGACCCACAAAAGCTTCAAAAATGTTCTGTCAAAGCCTCTAGCTAAACCACTATTATACAAGGGTAGACCTAGTTTGTGCAAACCAACAGTTCCTGAAGAGGCCTTTGAATATTTGAAAGATTTTAAACCCAAAGTGAGATTACTCAATAAAAAGAAATGAATATTTACTGCCTTGTGATTTTCTACTCACCTTTTTTCCAATACTGTCTCTGTTTAGAAGGAAATTTTTGCTTTGCTCATCTTGTGTAACCATTCCATCATCCAGAATTGTTAGTGAATTGATGCCAGACAGCAGTATATTTTTTGCAATTTCTGATCCCAATGCTCTGATATTGATGAGGAGAACATTAGCAGCTCTCAGTCTTAAAATATTCAAGAAAATGATTAGTAATTGTCAGAAACTCCCTGGCTTATTCAGGAGGAAAAAAAAACTGAATATTAATGCAGATAAGAGAAGTAAAGTATCAAAGCCAGACAATATTAACCACTACATCCTTAATATAATATATAAATTAAGTTGTGAATGTGTCTCTGGGATGAACAATGACAAAGATTCTTCGATTTACCCACTTTTCTTGAGATTCTATCCCCCATAGCCTGATTTGTCTATCATAAAGTTCAGCTTCAACGGCCGAAAGCTGTTTATCTTTGTTTTCTGTTCCTGCACTCATTTTCACAATCACAACTAGATCAAAACATATAAAAAAATTGATAAATTATGGGGACTAAAATCACCGAATTCAATTTCTATTTCGGCTTGGGACTACTCAATCTTCGAATCTTCCGAATCAAACCTAAGTTTGTTAATCTGTGACCTAACCAAACTCTTACCAACGGAAAGCGGAGACAGCGGAATCTAAAGGCATGTCTAAACGTCTAATCTAACGCTATCAACCTCCTATCAACGCTAACGTCTAATGGCGCGTTCACATGCTGGCTTTTCGCCTCTTGGCTTATGGCGTATTGTGATTTGATTGGCCAATTTATGTGAAAGCGCGTATCAAGGTCATATGCCAAAAAGTCGATCACGATCCGACATTTTGTCTAAAAGAAGCTCCGATTTCCAGGGTTTTATCTTTTCAGGTTAGTTGTTGTTGTCAACTGTGGTGAGATATGTCATATTCAAATATGGAAAATAGTGAAATGTTGGTACATTTTCCAGTTATAGGTAGTTTATAAAATGTCTGTAGAATTCACGGTCATCAATGAAGATTACTGAATACTGTCAACTGCTTAGTATTGTTTCCTACTTTTTGATATATTGTTTTTATGTAATTTCAATAGGTTATTTATTGATTGAAGTTCAATTATTGTAGATGACTTGAATGATGAACTTACTTGAATATGTGAAAAACGTTATTCGAAACGGATATATTCCCGAAATTCCATGAACAATGATGATTCAATTTTCTTGTTGAATATTTTGATTATCAAATTTGAAATTTGTCTCCTCAAATGTCGCTTTTGTCAGAACGCTCGTTTTATTTAAGCTTTCCGCGATAGGCGAAAGCTGTCATGTGAACGCGCCATAACGTCACTTGCGTCTGCACTCTGCAGAGTCTGCGTCATAAAATGGAATATTGGTGGGGACCAAGGCTATTTAACTCATAAAAACAATACCTTGGGTGGGGACTACGCGTAATGTGTCAGTCATATCAAGCGTAAGCGTAATATATCAATCAACGTGAGCGTAATATATCAATCAACGTAAGCGTAATATATCAATCAACGGGCTCAGCTCATAGTTAAACTACTGCTCAGCTTGAACTCAGAATTCATTCAGTCAACCCTGATATACAGTCTAAGAACAGTCTCTTTTGGTGAAGTATATCATCAAGCTTTCAGTACAAATTATATGTTCCCTACCTCGCAAAGATTATGCTGGAGTAGTAAACTCTAAAACTAGAGGATTGTTCAACTATATCTTGTTATAGTTGACTCAGGAATTCCATAAGGAAATTACGTATGATACGCCAATGATCTCAATATAACCTAAAAAAACAACAAATGTCAAAAATCTAGTGACCGTTTCACAAACACTTTAGAGTGAGAGGAGACGAGGATCTGTCTCAAGGATTATGAATCTGTCTGAGATCTGTCCGTACCCTGTTAAGATGACTTTAACGTCAATTTCCATCAAGGGACTCTAAAGCAAACCTGAAACTATCGATACTATCGGTGAAAATTATCGATTCAACCGATAGTACAGTCGAATTCAATAAAAAAGCGTACAAGTATTGAAAAGAGAGGATTTCGGGATCCTAGTTCTAATTGTCTGAAACTGGCTTAGCCAATGCTTTGTGTTTTCGAGATTCTATCTAACTTTACTGTAAACATTTGGTGAACAATCATTCACGATTGCCCTTTTTATGCAGAATAGGATGACGTTAATTTCTCTCTGTGATATATTTGTACGCTTTTTTTTAATACGACTGTACATTACTATCGATAGTCTATCGATATCTAGCTTAGTTAGCTAATAATACTACTACCACTACTAATAGAACTACTACTAGTCACTATAATAACACTGCATGCGGTTGTGATTGATTGGTTGTTTGATGGTTGTTTGTGAGTTCGTGTAGGCGCCAACTTAGTGGATTTCACACTAGAACTGGTGGTTTGAGTTCTCGTTTTGTGGTGACAAAATATGGCATCTAGTGGATTTTGGATGGATGGATGCTTATTTTGGTGAATTTTTTCAAATAAATGGTGAAATCTAGTGGTTGAGAACGCATTCGAAATGTCCTTTGTTTTATATGATATTTCAATTTTAACAATGTAACACTAGAGAAAAGTGTTAACTAGTTTTAACTGAAATCAGTTTCTAATGGATAATATGTCCAATTTTGGCTGTTTTTGTACGTTCTGAAATGTTGCTTTCGACTTCTTGTTTTATATGTATTATAATATAGGTACTTGAGTATGTCATTGATGTTATATGAATAATTTATTTTTTTGCGTTCTGTTTTTTGTTGAAGAAAACAACTTTTTTCACCTGAATCTGACAGGTATTTTGAGCCGATATACCACTCGATACATCTAGAAATCTCAGAGTAGCTACTCCATTGATTTATTTCCACTACGTGTGACCAATATTTTCAAAACATAAATTGTTTGCCTGTATGTCACTGTGGTAAATTATTTCTTGGTAATGGAAAGGATTCGATCTCTTCACTACAGATTGTATGTTAAGTTCTTCCATAATCACAAGATTTTTGGAAAAAATATATTTTCAGCTTATGTAAAATTCTTCCATATCGTTAGTGATTTTCGAAAAAAAAAATAGCACCTGGTATACAAAATATCTCCCATCCCCCCCCGTTTAATTTTATTATCATCATTAGTCATAGATAAATCATTTCTTGTTCGGAAATTAATCGGTTTTAGCAGCATGATTCAACTTATTAGTCATTCATTCGGGACCAGGTGGTAAATCAAGACAGTCTTATATTAGATGTCATCATGTACGGTCGAATTTGGTGATCACATCGAAAAATACGCGAAAGGAATTATTTATCGTTCCAAACTGAGTGTTTCCTAAAAACTGAGTGGTCGTATTGATTCATTAATAATAATATCGGGATCGTGTGTTGTCAGTGTTTCGTGTTGTTTTGTTGTGTTGTTTTCGTGTTGTTTCATCAAAGCCTCACTTTTTTCACGCTGGTGAGTGCAGAGAATTTCTCTCAATTCTTCCTCATATTTCTCTGTATTCATTTAACTTCATTACTGTATACAGGGTATGTCACTACGAGCTCACACTATCTTTAAATCGAGAACCAGTCGGGATAAATCCATGAAAATGTGCATGCTTATATTTTGGTATACGCTCGATCTTTTCATTTGAGATATGTTCGACAATGCAGTGTTGCCTAACCTGCATATTATCGCATTTTAAGATTCTTCCTGAAGAGCTGATTTCATCGATACATCATACTTGGGTTTTATCGAAGATGATTACAGAGATATAGGGTGTTCAAAATCGATATTTTTCAACTTTAGGATTTGTTTGTGTCGAAAATGTTCATTATCTGTTAAAACTTTTGAACAACTGTGTATAATCGATTCATACTTGGTAGGTATATTTAACTCATATTTCTCATCAAAACTAAATATGAATCGAATTTAGAATCCAGATCCGTCTTCAGGCAAAACAAAAAACTTCTTTTATTTTCAACAGTGCGCATCCAATTTGAAAAACAGTATTTTTATTGAACTCGTTATTGTAAAAATCCAATTTTATTACAAAAAAAAATAACCAGTCGTCGAATTTCAACTTAATTAGAGCCGATTTCGTTCCATAGAACAATTTGTCAATTACTTCAGATATTTTCGAGTGCTCATTACATTTTCACACACACAAATCAATTAAGTAGTTCACACTCTTGCATTTTTGTACGTAGATTCATATTCCGAAATTATTTATTTTAGTATTGTCAGTAATTTTGTGTTATGCACACAGTATATAACATAAGCGGACGGCGGTTGGTGATTACGAGTATGATGAATCACGGAATGCAGAACGGTTGAAGATAGGAGATTAGTAATGAGTCAGTATATTACAGTCAGCCAAGTGACAAGGTTGTAAGGTGTTGGGGTCATTAAAGGTGGTGTTGTATTGTTTGTGTGTGCCTCATTACTCGCCCCTTACATTTGTATACATATATATTATACGTCTCCGAAGTTTTTGTGATCGTTTAACACCGGAGTTCTTTCATTTCATTTATTTTTATATCTATCCATTCGGATTATTTTGTATAAAAATATTTTATACTCTCGAATTTTTGTACCTACTTAGTTTTATATTCCAAAATTATCAATCTTAGTATTTTCAATAATAGCTCGTCAAACGGAATTCATACTTTTTCACCACGTACAAGCAGCATTTGCTACTTCTGTGGGTTTTCTAATGTTTATTTACCTAATGTTAACTTGCTATCATTATTTCTTCCATTGTATTCGGATTCTGTCGAAATAAACATATTATTATTATATTATTATACCAAATGTCAATTTGGATGCGCACTTATAAAAAGTAGACCACATTGTTCATTATTTTCCTCTTCTTTCCAGTTAACAAAACATATCTAGATATTTTGGGAATAAAGATTATATTTTTAGCCTGGGTAATTTTTTTAAATCATTAAACCTTTGAGTCAGTATATCCGTGTTCAATACTTCATCTCATATTTTGTATACTATATATCTCTTTTTCCCCCGTATAATCATCATTAGTCATAGACTCCCCCCCACCGTATAATTCCATTATCAACATTAGTCATAGATAAATCATTTGTTCGGAAATTAATCGGTTAGCAGCATGAGTCACATCTTTCGGGACCAGGTGGTAAATCAAGACAGTTTTATATTAGATGTCATCATGTACGGTCGAATTTTGTGATCGACATTGAAAAATACGCGAAAGGAATTATTTATCGTTCCAAACGGAGTGTTTCCTAAAAAATGAGTGATAGTAATCCAAAATTTCAAACAATGGAATTGGAGAAATCATTTTCTACCTACCACTTGATACATCCAGAAATCTTGATTCATTTTCATATACATATACGTATTTTTTGTGAGAAATGTATGCGATTAGAAGAAACCCGAAGAAAATAGGTACCGCAACTGCCAATTTTCACAGAGAAATTTTCGATGTCGTCAAAATTTC